ATAATAATGAAATATTTTAAAGCTTTTCTCAAAAGAGAAAGTCACAAGGTTGTTTTGTTTATTTACCTGATGTTGGACTGAGTAAATCCATACTTGTCATGATGGAACATACTGAAAGACTATGTGGTTATTAGAGAAAAGACAGTCAATAATCCTGTGTCTGTGTTGACTCTAATGCCGATATAGAGTATATATCTTCAGCTAGTGTCAACCCGAAGGAAGATTTGAGGAGTATGCGAGCTGCTGTCACCTGGGAGCTGAGCGAACAGTAAACCTCTGTGAGGTTTATGTTGTCGATTCACAGAGACAAAAAATAATAAAATACATAAAATAAAAATAAAAGGCAAACATCTACAATTCAAGGAAACTAATCAGTAAAACCTAGCACTGGTTTGGTAGTAATTTACTGTATAATTGTTTATTGATTCTCTTCTGCTAAGTAGAGTATGTAGATAAGATTGGCAGAAAATGTATTTTGCTAAATTTATACATTATGAATTCATTCTGTTCACAAAAATGTCCTAGATGCTATTTATTTCATTACAGAGGTCACTTTAACCCACTTTTTCACTTTATCCTGAATCYACTGCCCCAAATCTTCTTTATTCAATAGAAATGCATTATAATATGGTATATTGGATTTCTTTCATCTAGTTAAGACTATGTAAATTGTCTTTTTATGATGGCTACTATATTTCTATAAGGTGATCATAAAATAGAAAGAGTGAGCTTCCTGAAAAGGGTTGGGATTCTTAGAGTGTGTTTGTCTTGTGTCAATGGACCTTTGCTTTTTATAAAATCTCAATCACAACTTGGCCTAAAGTATGACTGCTGCTGGTGTGTGGTTATACTGGAATAATGTCACACTAATGTAGCTTCTTTTGCAGGTAAATCTAAGAGTCGAAACTCACTGTACAACACTTTTTTTGTGATGTTTGACAACTAAAAATCCTATCACAATCAAAATTAGTTGAAATTTCTACAGGGTTTCTAAATTGGCTGGTACAGTCTGTTTGATTATTGAATATATGTCTTTTTATTAATCTAATGTGAATACTGTCATTTTACAGGAAAAATGTATAAAATGTGATAGAAAAGTAACTCAAACTGTAATCTGCATAAACTTCCATTATCAGTGTGTGACCTGAGTTTTTTTTATTTCAGCCATGATGATATGACTTTTTTCTGTATACCTTTGTTTTTAAGTTGTAAAGCTTCTATAATTTTGCAGAAAACCTCTCAAACAATATGATAAATACGTTGGTGCCAACCAGGGTTTTCTTTGTGGACATGCAGGATTTCTATAAATATAGTTTTTGTAAGGTTTTATTAAAAAATGTATAAATAAACAAAAAAAAATGGGGGTGGGGTATTTGTTTTTCCTGTAACTGTATGTGTTAAGAGAACATGTGAATAAAATACTGAGGGGACTCTACAAAGTACTATAGAAAAAAAGAAAAAAAAACAACTACTGAATTATTTTCTTTTTAACACACTGTGAATAATTTAATTGTACAGTTTGCTGTATGGGTTAAAATGAAGTTTTAAATAAAAATACAACCTCATATTTGAACACTGGTTCATCCTCTGATTGGTGCGTTGCAGTGAGAACATTAGCAGCTACAGCATGCGAGTAAAGCAGTATCAGGTTTGGTTCCGTGTTTTATTTGATTATAACACAGATTTAGCAAYGTTATAGTTCACTCTGCATAGAGGGACAGTTTTGAGTAACAGCATATTTTTGGACTGTGGGAAGCATGTGTACCCAGAGGAAACCCACACAGGTCCAGGAACCTGTGACTTCTTGCAGCAGCACAACTTCTAACCACATGTGCCACCATGTAGTTCCTGCCCTAACATAAATATTATTGATGAAATAAAAAAAAAATACTTGACAGTATTGTTATGAAGATTCTAGAGATTTTTAAGTTGCAGGTCTTTTTACAACCTCAGTAAAACTAAAACATCTGCACCTTTGCCAAAACTGAATTGCTAATTGACTTTTTATTGACATTTTTTTTGTGCCAGAACATGCTGTGACCTTTGACCATTACTACAAGCTTTATTTTGTCTTTCTGCTAACAATATCAGTTCATAACGTTCACACAGTAGATGTTTCCAAAACCAGACTATGTATGATTCTACATAGACTGGATTAYGATTGTTCAAAATAATAAATGACTGCTTTAAAAATCATGTAGATCATTCCCAATTGAAATATTGTATGTTGATACTAAGTAAAATGAATATAATTTTGAAGCGATTTGCGTACATTCTTAGGATTTATTAAATAGTAAATCTAGTGGAAGGTACAGATGTATTGATGCAAATATGAAAAAATAGGTAACTATTTTAGTTCAACCTTTTCCACAAATATTAAACTTTTGTATGTTCCAATACCTGAAAACATCATTCATCTCAAACAAAAACACAGAGTATTACAAACCTTGCGAGCAAAATAAATAAATAAATAAAAAACAGAATTATCCACGCCCTTTATTTGGTGTTCATGCATGACTGAGTATGAGTCTTGACGTAAGGTATCCAATCAACTGCGATAAGGAGATTAACCTTGCTGGCATTGCAGTGGCAGATGTGCGTGTTAAAAAAGCAGTGGAACCCCAGGCCATGGCACTGAAGAG